GGGGGAGGGACCAGAGGGGTGGGTCGCCGCTCGCCAGCCCTCCTTCCTTTCTGTACACCTTGCGGTAGGCAGAGCGAGGCAGCCCCGGCAGCAGCTCCGGGTTTGTGCTCGCCGAGAGGGGACTTAGGGACCCGCAGACGGACGGACTGACTGGCGGAGAGGACCCTCCCCGTGTCCCCGCGCCATGGCCGAGAGGAAGCAGTCTGGGAAGGCGGCAGAGGACGAAGAGGTCCCTGCCTTCTTTAAAAACCTGGGCTCGGGCAGCCCCAAGCCCCGGCAGAAATTCTGTGGCATGTTCTGCCCAGTGGAAGGGTCCTCGGAGAACAAGACCATCGATTTCGACTCGTTGTCGGTGGGCCGGGGCTCGGGGCAGGTGGTGGCTCAGCAGCGGGACGTCGCCCACTTGGGCCCGGACCCGCAGCCGCCCTACTCCCGCCAGGGCCGGCGTGCCGGCGGGGAGCCATCTGTTGAATCGGGCCGGAAGGTGGAGATCCGGCGGTCCTCGGGCAAGGAGGCTCTGCAGAACCTCAACGACCAGGTTGGTATGGGGGCTTGTGGGTGGAGACGGAGACGGGGCGCGGGGGTCGCCCCTCCCTCGCCCCCTTCCACCCCGGCGGAGAACCGAGCACCCCAGAGCTCCCTAGCGTGCCCGCCTTCAGGACCCGCCCTGAATATTGCCTCCCGCATCTGCACGCGCGCACCCCACCCTGCCCGCCCCTTCTGAGCGCAGGGTGCGGCGAGGCTCGGGCTCGGCTCGGCGGTGGGAGGCTATGTGCCCACAAAGGCAGCCGGGGCCTCCTGGGCCTGGGAGGTGGGGAGTGGGCATAAAGGACAGGCGGATCCCTGGCTGGGGACGTCGCATGGGGGTTGGGGTGACTAGGGTTCCATTCTTCTTAAATCCTCCCGGGCGGCTGGGCGGCTTCCGTTTGCAGCTGTGGCTGGGTGCCCCACCCTTTTTTGATGCAGCTTGGAGCGTGCAGTGGAGGGTTGGCGTGAAGGCCTGTGGACTCCCCGGGGGTCGGGAGGGGCAGGGGTTCCGACGGCTACTCAGCTACTCATGGTCACACCTCCTCGGGCACCCTCTGCGCTCTCGTCCTGAGCTCCGAGGTCAGTACCATGGCTAGCGCCTCCCTGGACAGCCTCGGAGACTCTCTCCACCCTGCTTCCTATTCACAGCAGGCGAAGAGCAGGGGAGGCGGGGGGGTCACCCCAGGAAACCGAGAGGCTCCTAAATAGCCCATGTGGAAAACGGAGTTTTGCTTAAGTGTCTCAGTAAAGGCTTCCCAGAGCGTCACCCGCTCTGCCCGCTTGGGAAGCACCTTAGGGATGGGGACTTAAGTGGATTATGTTCAAAGGGTAAGAAAGAAAAGGAAAAAGCCGCCTGACGTTTGAAGACTGGTCTCCTTATATTGCGTTAATGGGGAGACAAAGAAGGTTGGTTGGATAACCTTGATTTTGGAAAATGTTTAATGTTTGGCACATGTGAGCAGAGGGTATTTAAAACCCAATAGTCTTCATACACACAATTTTTTCTTTAACAGGGTGATCTTTATACTTGTGCAATATTTTTTTTCCCACAGCCTTAATTTCTCAACTGATCATTTACAGTGCAAAATGTTTTAACACTCTTTTTTTTTGTTTGTTTCTTTTCTCTCACACCCATGGTGAAGATGAGAAAAATCAATCAAGGATCATTTGTTGAATACCTGTTGTATGCCTTGCCTGCTAGGTCAGGAGGAAGGTAGTCATAAAAAGTTCAAGATGCTTCCTCTCAAAGGGCTTCGAGAGAAGTTGGGGTCTTCTACGCACATTCACTGAGGGATTTCACATGCATTTATTCAGTGTTAAGGTTGCATACCCATGGGAGAACAATTAAGAGTAGATAAGAATGTTTGGCGGGCTGGGGTGTAGCTCAATGGTAGAGCACTTGCCTAGCACATATGAGGCACTGGGTGCAACCCTCAGCACCACATGAAGACAAATAAATAAAATGAAGAATGTTTGGAGCATGATATTCCCCTTTCCTGCCATGGCATACAGTTTTGTAGCTTTTGACTTTCACAGAACCAATTCTAAGAACAATAAATGATTTGCTGTCATTTTCAAAAGGCGAGGCAACTAATCAATTTATATTCACTCTCCCACTCCCTGTCCTGACATTTCAATTTATCTCATATCCATGTTTTCCTATGAGGCAACCAGAAGAATCTAAATCTGAAAAAAAAAATTTGCTTTGTTCCAAGGGATCAGACAATTGAATCAAAAGTTTCTAATTAATATACCTGATGGTGAAAGTGGGGTGAGTGTGCTGTACTTCCTTGTGGGAGGACCCTGGGTGAGGCCAGGGTCACACAAAATCATGATTGTGTATGCAGTGTCATGGGAGGCAAGTGTGCTGCTAATTCTGATGTCCTGGAGGGAGCAGAAAAACACCTGGAAAGCAAAGAGGAGATAATGTAAAGAATGGCAGATCAGGGGACAGGGGTTGAGAGTGGTCATCCTATAATGATGGCAGTGAGGTGAAGCTTGCTTTTGAAAGGCTTGGTTTCACTGGGTTAAATAACACATCTTCTTTGCTGTCTATTTAGAAGCTTAGATGTTTGATCATCAGGGCTATTTGTTCAGACACTCCCTAAATGTAATTGGACTTCTAAATTGTAACCCCAGAAGAGGGGGAGATTTCAAGAGAGAAATATCCAATCAAGATCCCATGCAGTTTAGCCTGCTTGGTTGTTAGTAATAGAGGGCACTTCTGCTCAGTCTTAGTCTTTCTGCAGCCCTCATCTAGCATTATCACATAAGGGCTGTTCCTATGGGATCTGTCATTCATGACTAAGAACATTTACCTGGATAGGTGCTTACAATGTTTGAATTTTTCATGCCTACGTAAGAGGGAAAAAGCATTTGGTGTGCATACGTGTATTTGTATATAACAATGAAGATTTCCAAAAGCACAGCTGAGCCCACCATTTTGACTGAATTGAGTGGTCATTACTTAGTTTGCAGCTAATAAGCAAAGGTGACCGCCGGCATCTCATTGCAGTCCTCTCAGGAGCCCTGGCACAAAGAGTCAAACTGACAGCACCCTGGGAACTTTGTCTAATGCCCTCTCTCTGCCCTTGAGTCTGTATTTGTAGGTACTGTTAATGGGAGGTCAGGTGTGGCTTTGCCTGCCTGTCATACTGAGAGTCCTGATGTTGTTCTAGCAACTTTGGGAAGGGAGGAAACAGCTTCCTTAGCCATGTGGCTTATAAGAGATGAGAGGCTGAGTGGATACATTGGCAGGGCCTAAATGAAAGATGCTGCAGAGTGTGAGCAACTCAGCACCAGGAAGCATGAGGTGTGGTTTGACCTGGGCTGTCAGGTTTTGGTGAAGGGAAAAGGGATAATGGCAGCTATGAGTGAAGAAAGCTTCTATCTTGTTACTGTCTTTTTTACCATATGTCACTGCAGACATCCACTTTGGGGTGCAGTGAAATTACATTGATTACCGCCTGGGAGGGACTCCCGGATGGAGAACAGAAAGGCAGCTCCATAGTGAATTAGTAAGTTTCCTTATGGTAACAAAATATCCATGGAAGGCTACTTATGAGGTAAAGAGGTTTGTTTTGTCTGATGGTTCCACACACACACACACACACACACACACACACACACACACACTCACACATCAGGGTCCCACAATTCTTTTTGAGAGCACACCCACAGTGACCTCAAACAAGGACGCACCTCTTAATGGTCCATGCCACCTCCCAGGACTGCCAATCTGGGGACCAGGCCTTTCCGTATGAACCCTGAACGTCTGCATCATAGCCTACTTGTCCCTGGCCAGTGCCCTTGTGTCCCATCGTCTTCTCTTCATCCCAGACGTTCCCTCCCTGCCACCCCAGGCATGGTTTAGCCACAATCCGCTGCTCATCCGGGGATACTGGACTGTGAGCATGCCCTCCAGAAGGACGCCCAGGCCCTTCTCCTAGCAGCAGTCACCCTGTGCAGACTGGAGTGGCAGGGAAGTCACTGTCCTTTTCCAGGGCAGGTACAGTGAGTGAACCAGGGAGAGCACTGCTGGGACCTGATGGCTGGACCGTGTCTCCTGAAAGCTTATGTTGGAAACCTAATGCCCAGGGTGGCAGTGTTGGGGGCAGGGCCTATTAATGGGAGGGCTCTACCTTGTGCATGGATCGATGCTGATCACACGGTCATCCTCACCACATGTGGCCCCTTGATCTGACTTCCTGGTCCCCAGAACCCCAAGCCAAATAATCTTCATTAAAAGTCACACAGTCCCAGGTATTCTCTTCTAGCAGGACAGAGTGGTTTAAGACAACCACCAAGTCTCTAAAATGCTTTCTAATATCAGCCCCCATGTTGGTTCCCGCCCAGTCCCAGGTGCCCGCTGCTCTGTGGCCCCCGTACTGTTCAACACCACCTCACCCTTCCTCATAGCAAGCCCCTTCTGAGTCCCTCTTCCTTAAAGGGCAACGTGTTCATTCCCCCCCTCTGCTCTTCCTTCTCCCATCTAGAACACTTTCCTTGAGTTAATCGTGGAGGCAGAGAAATCCTAGTGATTAAAGTAGTTCACCTTTTGTGTGAACGGCTAATATCTAAGTTGTCCCAGAGATTCTTGTTTGATAATAGACTAGTCTGAGAAACAAAAGGGATGTCTAGTTAGTGGGATGTGTGGTGGAGATCTGGCCTGGAGCCTAGATCGAGAGCAATGATTTGGTACTTTAGAGGGAGGTCACTGACATTGTTCCAAAGAGGAGGTATAGATATGACCATTTGGGCATTCAGGATTCAAAAAAGACCTGAGAGCCACTCAAGGTCATGGGGGGGAGAGAGAGAGAGAGGGAGAGAAAGAACTGGGAGGGATCAGTACTTGGAAAGGGGAAAGAAACAATGATAATCCATTATAATTGGTTGCTCTTGATTCCCCAACTGATTATTGAACTGATCATATGACTGGCTAAATCAGAAACAAATTTTAACTTTGGTAAAATGCACATATTGAAAAATTTCCTGCCTCAGTCATTTTTAAGTGTGCAGTTCCATGTAGTGTTACGAATGTTCATTGTGGGGCTGGGGTTGTGGCTCAGTGGTAGTGTGCTTGCCTAGCATGCATGAGACACTGAGTTTGATTTTCAGCAACACATACAAATAAATAAATACATAAAGGTCCATCAACAACTAAAAAATATTTAAAAAATAAGAATGTTCATTGTTATGCAAATGATTTCCAGAGCTTTTTCATCTTGCAAAACTCAAACTCTGTACCAGGTCAACAGCCACTCCTGATCCCGCCCCCAGCCCTCACTCACCCTTCTCCTCTGACTACTGAGTCCGACTACTCAAGATACCTGGTGTAAGTGGAATCAAACAGCATTTGTCCTCTGGGACTGGATTATTTCACTCTGCATAATGTCTTTCAGGATTTCCCATATGGTAGCAAGGGACAGAATTTCCTTTTATAAAAGGCTGAATAATATTTTTTATATTATTTGAATTATAACAGGTCATGGACAACTTGAAAATTGTTGC